CTACTCTTTGATAAGCAGCTAAACAGGTAGAGGTGTCATGCAAAGGAACAGAAGACAAGAACAAATATACAAATATACACAAAAAAGAGCCACAGACTAGTACAATGGGAAAGGATGTTACTGGGAGGAGAAAATTGCAATGTTTTAATCACTGTGGTGTTGGAAAAAAATGGTACAATGTAACCACAATCAATCAAAAAAGTGGATTGAGCTGGTTATCAAACAAAGAGAACTATTCTGGTGGTGGGTGTTGGGTTTAGCTGCATCAGATGAGTGAGGGCTGAATTGTCTAGTGAGTTCTGAGAGGGTATTTGTCTCTGTTCAGTTTCTTATACTTAGATTGGATTATCAAATCTTCACGTGTGTTAGTGTTCTTCCTGAGGGTGGGCATCCAAGGGAGAAATAACACTGAATTCCCAAATGTATTGGTAGTGGCTAAGTGGTGTGTGTGAATTTTGGACTGTATGCACTGGAGTTTCCGTTCTCTTTGCGGTTTTGTATCACAATGCCTCTGCTCTTGTCTGCTTATTTGATAATGAGGTCTTTGTAAGATTCAAGATTTTTTAGGGCTCTTATTTCCGATGGATTTAAGTTGGAATGTTTTTTGGAACTGGTCATGCTGCAACTGTGGAGGGGATTTGCCTAGGTTGTATGATAAAAGGCATTAATGAAAGACCCTTTGGACCGATGGGGATAGAAGACCAAAGGTGGTCTAAATGTGGTGTGCATGATTTCTGGATTGACAAGGTAGTCTATGTCTTCACTGAATGGGTGATTCTCCTCAGTCAGTTCTCTGAGGATGGCCAGGATTTCGCCCATAAGTCTGTTCTAGTAGTTCCCATTGGGATTGGTCTTGGGGAAAAATGTTACTGCAGTCTTCCAATTTTCCAATGGTTTTTAGGAGGCAATAGTGTCTCTTCAGATTGAGATTGCATATAAATTTGTTGAGATCCTTAAATAGAGTGAAAGGGTTGGGTTTTGCCTCGGGCGCAACATTAAGGCCTTTTTTTAAAGATGGAGGATTCTTCTGAGGTTAGGGCAAGGTTTGAAAGATTAAATATTTTTTATTGTAGACTGTTCCTGTAGCATGTTTTTTCTTTTTTTGCAGTGTTTTCCTCCTCTAGTTCCTTTTCTTTTTTTCTTTCTTTTTGAGGGTTGGTTGGGTCCCAGGTCTAAAAAAGGAAAGGTTGCCTGTTTTTCAATTGGGAGTTTGATGGTAGTGGAGTTGATTGGTATTGCTTCCGCTTCTATGGGGATGTGAGCATTTTCCTGGACCTTTTCAGGAGAAAGCTTGCCCTCGATGTGATGATAGGAAGATGTCGATTGATCAGAACTTGAGAAGTGGTCAAGGGAGCTTTGTGTGATGGTCTTCTGAACAGGTAAATTGTTGGTATGGTCATGTGTTGACTGATTTTTAGAGAGTTGTGGTTCCTTTTCTTGGGGGCCTGTTCAGTGGTTGGGGGATAAATGAGGTTCAATGGCTTTTCTTGCCTGTTGAATGGTGACAAATTTTCCAATCTTCTGGCACCACACTAGGGTGGCTATTCTGGTGGTAGGTGTTGGGGTCAGCTGCATCGAAGGAGTGAGGGCGGAATTGTCAAGTGAGTTCTGAGAGGGTTTTTCCCAATTGAATACTCTGTTGTGGGTATAATTGGATTTGTCTCTGTTCAGTTTCTTAGACTTAGATTAGATGATCAAGTCTTCATGTGTATTAGTATTCTTCCTGAGGGTGGACATCCAAGAGGGAAATAAGATGGCATTCCCAAATGTATTGGTAGCGTGTGTGTGTGAGTGGTGTGTGTGAATTTTGGACTGTATGGACTGGAGTTTCCGTACGTTGTTCGATAACCAGCTCAATCCACTTTTTGTGCAGAACTCGGCCAAGAGCTGCCACTCTTTTTTCAGATCGTAATCTAGGAAATTTCAGTATTTTTTGATAAGAAAGGCCTCTGGCGGAAATTGCCAGTTCAATGTATTTCTTAGGAAAACGAATGTCCCACCATTGTTAACTCTCATGATTGATCATGTTTTGTAACTGTAAAAAGTGTTTTTGTTTATTGGTAATAGAAGTTACTCAGGCTGAGGCTGGGGCGGTGGGGGTGAAAGGGTTGGGGCCAGAACCATCTGAGAAGATCTGTTCCCATTTCTTTGTTCTACATGCATCTCTTGTCTCCATGGTTATGGTAGCAGGTGCGGCTCAAAGGGATAACTCACCTTAAGTGTTTGTTAAACAGCGCAAAGTTTTCCTTTTCAGTTTGATCATTGTGGTTACATTGTACCATTTTTTCCAACACCTCAGTGATTGCAACATTGTCATTTTCTCCTCCCATTAACATCATTTGCCATTGTACTAGGCTGTGGCGCTTTGTGTATATTTGTTCTTGTTTTCTACAATTATTACATATCCCTTTCTAGATCAAACAGATTTTCTTAACAAATAAAAATCAATAATTAACTAAACCATATCAAGTTCCATAGAACAAAAGCAGAGTTTGCCTATTTGACGATTGGAAATAGCCACTATGTAATATACAGGCACTGCATTAACACATAACACATAAGCAGGGCCCCAAAACAGGTTGTCGTACACCCTGCATAGTAGTGAGGAAAATAATTATTTGAACCCCTGCAGATTTTGAAAGTTTGCCCACTTACAAAGAAATGAAAGGTCTATAATTTTTATCATAGGTGTATTTTGAATGATAGAGACAGAATATTAACCAAAAATCCAGAAAAAAAAACACACGATACAAATGTTATAAACTGAGTTGCTGTTCAGTGAGTAAAATAAGTATTTGATCCTCAAGCAAAACATGACTTAGTTTTGCTTGGAGATCAACTGTGTCTGGTCTGCCGCCAACAAAAAAAACACTTTGTGCCCAGTTGACAACGATTTTCACTATCAATTATTATTGATTTAGTCGATCAGTTGTATCAGCCCTATTTAGAAACATAGCTTCTTGCACTGTATGTTAATGAGAGGAAGCTCGTACTGTTCCTGGGCTTTCCATAAGGGCAACTATAGCATTCACATTGAAATTGTACAGTAAAGCTGTGTACACACAGTGAATTTTGTCCAATTCAGAAGGCTTTGGTCAAAATTTGATTTGGTGGGACCCTATTCCCTCGAGAAAAGTCAATCATTAGATTGACTTTTGCCAAAGGAACATGTAAAAAAAATCTTTGGCTGAATGGTGCTTGCAGACAAGCAGCTGCAAACACTAATTGGGTATTCTGACAGCAGCCTGTGCAGCTGTCAGAATAAAAAGCACACAGCAGGATATTCATTTATCCACACTGTTTAGCATGGATGGAGACATTTTTTAATATATTTCTTCTTCTTTCAGTCCACAAGTTAACGAAAAAAATATAACCGTTTATACCAGTGGTCTCAAAGTACTGGCCCGCGAGCCGGTACCGTGTGGCCCACAGCCAGCTGACAAGTCAGGTACTTAGTGACCGCGTACGTGACTTGAGGGAGCAGCTATACGGTCTGCATCTATGTCAGATGCAGACCGCAGAGCTGCTCCTGTCAGCTCCTGCACTGAGATCCTTTCGGCCAGAGCTCAGTTCAGAGCTTTGGTTGAAAGGATTTATTAGTGAGGTCTGCAGCAGACCTCCCTAATCACCGCTAGAGAACCAGGAATCGATCTGCCTCCTCACAACCTCCTCCCTGCAAAAAGGTAAGCAGGAGAGGGGGCTCTGTATGTTATTTTATATTTATATGTGGGTATGTGTGCGGGGGGTTTATTATTTTATATGTGGGGGAGTGTAAAATGGCACTTTTGGCATAATGCCGAAAGTGCAATTTTCTGTCCGATACAGCGGTGCATCCGTGTATTCTCTCCTCCCCGTTGGGTGCTGCTCTGTGTCCCAGGGGGAGGAGAGAAACTGTGACAGCCGGCCGAGCGCTGCGGGAGATGAGCGCTGAGTTATCGCTGAGTGTTTGTACATAATTGAGGGCATAGTATGGTTACTGTGTCCTCAATTATGAATGAATGGGAAGTAGGGATGCACAGATACTTTTCGAGTACCAGTGCAGATACTTGGCATTTTCATGAGAACTACCAGGGTTGCAGTGGTTGCAGCTGGGACCTGGCTCTGGCACTCCACCACTGTCCTGAAATCATTAGTCTGTATTGTTTTAGAAAAACTGTCACATGACAATAAACAAAAATGTATCAGTACTCGTACTTGTAAGTACTCGGCAAGTACCAGTACTCGTACTCGCAAAAATGGTGTCTGTGCATCCCTTTATTTATATTTATATAAACAAAATCATACAATAAAACAGAGATGTACAAATCCCGGGAGCTCCATGTGCTCCTTACAAATGACAGCTGCCTCCTAATTTTTGAATTTTTCTCTAGTGTAGTCTAGTCTTTAGTGAGCTCAAAAGTATCGGTACATGTACTCGTACTTGTACCGAGTACTGTACTTGGTATCTGTGCAACCCTACATATTACTTTTTATTTTTGCATTCATTTTACTCCAAAATGGTCTTTATTGAATAGTATTATTGAGTGTACTGCAAAATAACGAAATGCAAAGCAATCTCAGGAAGGAGGTCACAGCAAAGTTATAGTAAAGTTGACAGCAGTAAATAGAGTTAACAGAGTGACTCTTGAAGAAATATAGACATCAAGGAACACCTCATCTACTTATATACCTACCTTCCACAGGAGAGGTCTTTAACCTCCGACAGATGTTAGGAACTCCACCATATGTATCCCTTATGCGGGTGACTGCCTCTTCACCTCTTAGCTCCATCTGCTCTCTCAGTTCCTGCACACTGCAGCCAAAATCTCCTTCATAGTTGCCATAATTCAAAGCAGAAGCACAATGGTGGTCAGATGAATTGTCAGTAGAATTGTTTGCCATTTTTGAGTATAGTATGGCACTTCAAGTCTAGATGAATAGTTTTTTCTCGTCTCCTACTTTTTCTCTTCCAGTTTCGAAGCTCCTTCTTTATGCTGAACTTTTATCAGGTATTTACAGAGAGTATTTTGAGACAGAAAGAGTTAACAGTATGCACAGTATTGTTCCTGGTAAAAGCTGTTATGTTGTCCAGTGTAGCTGAAGACCATGGATGCTGATAGAAGGGGCTTAAAAAAATGAAGAAAAGAACTTTCATTAAACTAGTTTCACTGATGCCACAGACAAAAACACTTAATAGTTACCAAAAAACCTGTACTAAAAAATATGTAGGCTGGGGCAGTTGGCTTTCTTCTGAAAATATACTTGCCTTGCTCTCTTTGTGATCTAATGGCTTAAGGAAGAACTCCATACTAGGGCTGCAGCTAACGATTATTTTCATGATAGATTAGATGCCTGATTATTTTTTTTCAACTAATCGATTGGTTGCATAAAAAAAACTCTCTCTCTCTCCAACCAACTAACCGATATTGAGAATAGTTGCCAACTATTCTCATAATCGATTATTATCGATTTAAATCGATTAGTTGTTGCAGCCCTACTCCATACATACTTCAGAAATCTTAACCGTTGAAACAGGGCTCTCTCTACATTGCAAGGGTTAAGTCTAGGGGCTAAAATAAAAGATATACTATCGCGATCCTTGGTCCTATCTGCTCCCTTCAGCCTCACCCCCCACCTTCACTCCAGCAGTGGACTGTCCCTCAGTGTCCTCATGTCTAATGCACTGTATTAGACGTGATGACCCATGGGACCTTAGACTGCCAGAGCGGAAAGCAAAAGAGGCTTTAGGGACCGGTCTAGCAGCCAGGAAGGATCGGTGAGTATGTATTTTCTTATTTTAGACCCTAGACCAAATTGAGCACTTAACCCTTGCAGAGCAGGGGTAACCCCACTGCAATGGTTAAGTTTTCATATGCCTGGAGTTCTTCTTAAAGTGTTTTTGCAATGACTGAGTCAGAACAAGTATGCAGCAGGTAAAGCTAGAGTCAAGTCAGCACTACATATTCCAAATCAGGAATTGAGAAAGTATTAAATACACTGTCAGCATGACAGCCCGACAAGTATCTTTACCACAAAGAGGTCAGCAATGACAGCCTTCATATTTTTCTCAGTACAGATTTCCTTTAAATGGATAAAATTACACTTTATGAATACTATACATACTAATATAATATATATACTTATCTGTCATGAACAAAGTATAATGTGATACATTTTTAAATCACTGTAAATTTATTTAATCTAGTAGTTCCAGCTTATCAATTAACAACCTACAAAAGTGCATAAACAGAAAAAAACTAAATCAGATCAATAATTGGTGTGTCTACCCTTTACCTTTAAGGGCTCATTCAAACTACCCCTAAATTAAAACCTTGCATTTTAGCGGGAGGGCTAGAGTTGTATCCGCTCTGGTGGTGTGCTCTGTATCGCACACTGCCAGAGCAGTCATTGTTTGTCACTGCTATTTTCTTTTTTTAACTTTATTGGTAGTGTACAATGAGTATACTCAATTGTGTTCCCACACAGCAGTATGGTGTGCTGCTGCACAATAACTTGTCGTGGCATCCAGTGAGCTAGAAAAAAATGCATGTCTGAATTTTTACACAGCCCCCATCATACCCTCATTGTGGTGTGAACAGGGCACATAGAAAACAATTGTTGTTCTTGTGTGGTAAAATATAGGTCACTGCTGTATGTGTGAACAGGCAATCATAAAGCAGCATTTCTCCTACGTACACCTAACAAAGTTAAGGATTTTGTATGCATATAGTCCAGTGTCTGAATAAACAATTCTCACAAACAGGTGCTAATAACTAACTAGATAACATGTAGTTTAAGTACTTTCTGCACGGCTAATGTAACTAAACGCCCGGACGGTGGCCTCTTAGATGCAGGTGGAAATTTTAAAATGTCCTTTTCCCATGGCTGTCGCTCGACTCCATACGACACTTGACCTGCCCGGGGCTGGATGTATGGAGTGCGCAGCAGATCCGCCATTTTCTGGTCTCTGTGCCAGGGCTGAGCCAGTTGACGCGACGCCTCAAGTTATATTTGCGCTGTAATACGTTCTCTATGCTCAGTATTCATGTATCTTTCTGTTATTTGTTACAATAAACACAGAATTTTAAAAAAAAAATGTCCTTTCCCCACTTCTACTCATGCATACCCCTCAGCGCCTACACGAGCGGGAAATGACTGTAATTTAAACACCCAGCAATGCTTGTTTACATACAAGTTTTCGGGTGGCTATAGAGCTGCCCGATCACTTGTAGGCTGTCTGCATGTGTGCGGCCCACCCCCCTTCTTCGCTGCCTATGTCGGGGCTCCGCTGTGCCTCATGCAGGCACGGGACTGGCACGGCAACTTTGTGAATCGAGATCAGCACACGATCTCCCCTCCGGTCTCTGAATGCAGAAGTGATGTGCATTACATCATTTCTGACTTCAGCAGTCATTTCTGTGGCTTTTTTAGCTGGAGAAAAGCTGTTAAAGCAGATGAATTTTATTGCTATACCACTATGAGATAATTTTATTGCTAAGTGTAAAAAAAAAAGAAGAAAAGTCTTTAAAAAGGCACAAAAAATTTAAGTTATATATACAGTGTGTATGTGTGTGTGTGTGTATAGGTATACATAATTTTTTAATAAAATTTTTAATTTTAACATTTATTTTCTTTTTCCACTTAATGTTATTCCTATAACATAGGGGGTTAAATTCCCCCTGTGATAGTTTGGAGGCGACAGGTTCTCTTTATGGAACCTGACCTCCAACACAGAACAGATGTTCTGTGCAGTTCCTGACAGCCGAGACAGGTGGCGCTGTGATTACAGCGCCACGGTCTCAGAGAACACACAAAGAGCCCGTAGAGCAGACGGCTGAGCCATGGTGCCGTAGTTTTCGGGGTCCCCCAGGAGAAAACCACAGCGGGGGGGTTTCGGGCAGACACAATCGCCGCTGCTCAATTTGATACAATGTACATTCAGCTCTGCTTGTCCGGAGTCGGGCTAAATGTACATAAAAACTACTCGCCCGAAACTGCATGTCCCGGGCGTCGGGCGATAGGAATTCCATACCCCTGGATCTAGAGATATATATATATATAAAAAGATGTAAATACAGCAAGCACTGGCTGGGAGCAATAGCCAGCCTGCTATTGGCTATTAAAATAGTAGGCTGGCTATTGCACCTGACAGCTATCACCTATAAATCAGCAAAGAAGGGACCTGAAGAAGAAAGTTTCAGTGTCGCGGTGCCGATGGAGTCACAGGTTGAGGGCGGTCACTCCTACCTGCTGGGCGATGGTCTGTGTCCCCTCCGATACAGTGGAGGAAAGCAGCAGGGAACATAAGGGACACAGATCGCAGCATGCAGCCAGCTCCCAGTGGGGAGCGGGGGGAGGCAGAGCAGATGCAGTGGCAGCAGCAGTGGCGGGGAGAGCTCTCCTCACCACTGGTCACTGGCTACAGTGGTCTGTGTCTCAGCTATGCGCCCAGCAGGGAGAAGAGAAGCAGAATCAACTAGTCTATAATGGGAAATCTTTAACAACGATTCTCATTATCGATTATCATTGATTAGATCAATTAGTTGTTGCAGCCCTAATCACATGCCTTAGCAAAATGTCCACTGGTCTTCCTCTATCTAAATTACTACTTACTACATAGAATATAATAGGAAGGTCTGATAAGAATAGTCCTTCATAAATCTATGCTGTTTGTTATTGATACAATTTTTTTGCATGCAAATTCTTGAATATAGCCCCTTTTTATCCTTTTCAAATACATTGCATACTATTGATGTTAGGCTGACTGGACTGCAGTTACCTGGTATAAATCGTGACCCTTTGTTGAATATCGGTTCCACTCAGTAGTACTTGCGGGTGTAAGCCATCTGGTCCTGGAGACTTGTTCACAAATATGTCTAGTCTTTTTTTTAACCCAGATTTGTCAACCACCAAGGTACCTTCAGTAAGTTATTAGCATTATTATTTTGTTTATTAAATCTGTCTTTTTCTTCTCCATTAACTCAAGGGAGGAATGTTTTAAATACATCTGCCTTCTTCCAGTCACTTAACTAACACGTATAACCACAACTGTATACCCCAGCTTTAGGGGAGCAATGTTCCAGGATATAGAGAGTTTACATAGGGTTACATACATTAGGGTCCAGAAATCCAGAAAAGAAAAATCCAAAAGATCAAATAACTGGAAAATGTAGTAAAGAAAAAACAACCCACTGGTAAAAGTGGGTGCTGCCAAAACTGTGGTCCACATGGGAGAAAGATTTGCTTGACTATGAGACAGAGCAGCTGTATCACCAAAGAGACGCCTACCTAGTCAATAAAACTTTTTATTGACTTAACCTAGTCAGTTAAGTCAATAAAACGTCCTTTAACTGAAAAGTTTAAAAAAAAATACCACACATACTTCCCTGAGGCACCATCCTCCTGACACAGCAGCTGTCCCATGACCAAGAGCTGACTAATCACATGACCACAAAATGACTGAAATGACAGACAGGGGAGAGAGGGTTGGTGCTCCCTGAGAGGCAGAGTTAGTTGTCAAGTAAACAGCCAGGGTCGATTCCAACAATATTGTCGGAATTCTCCTTAACTGCAGCTTGGCAGTACACCATCAGTTAATAGCAGGCATATAAGCCCACCATGGCTGACTTTAGATTACACGAGTAAATTAGTGAAAGTACTCCTGTGAGCCCAAAATTTGGCTATACAACGTATCATCCTGTCCCAAAAGCATAATCACAGTGTGCTGCACATATCAACAGACATAGCTGTCATGAGAGACAGTAACAAAATGGCTTCAAAAAGGCCAGCATAGTTGAAGTGGAAGGCTTGAAGCATACACTTAAGTTGTAAAAACCCAAGGGTCTAGTTAGAGTAATCAGAATTAACAGATGTGATTTGAGACATGGTTTCACAAAATAAAG